CGAGTTTCCTCAGCGGATCCTTCGGGTCTCATCCTCCCACTTCTCGAGCATTTTCTTCGTATCCTCCCATTCCCCCTCATCACCCACTCCAGTGAAGCCCAGTCTCCTGGCGAGCGCTCCCGTCTCGTGGTGATGCGAGCCACATTTCTGTATTATATGTGGTATTGTTCCTATTTGACCGCCGCATCTTGTACAATGCGGGTCAATGGATTCGTATTTCGTGCGGTGGGCTCGCGTAGATAGCATTCCCGCACGGGCCAATGCCAACAGTGCGCTGCCTCGGCCGTTTGTGTATAAGCCGCGTGCAGTCATGCCTCTCTCCTTCCATCCTCTGTAGAACTCCGAGCTTGATTTGGGTCCCATCGATTCCGACCCAGTCTCGCTCAACCTCTCTTTGATACGTTTCTTCACCGTATCATCGAAAAGCGTGATCTTCCCGATATTCAAGGGGGGTGTCCAAGCAGCCGAGCAGTCTCTTTATGGCTTCCGAGTATATGTTGACTGCAGCCATAATCGATAGAACCATTCTGGGCCATCGCATCGTGATGAGTCCATTGCACAGATCCTTGCAAAATATCGGATTTTACTTTGTGCTTCTCGGGCCTCGAATGTGGACCACCCAAGTTCGCCAAGCAAGAAGTCTGACGCTACTTTGTGTACAGTTATTCCCATCGCCCATTCCCTCGCGGCTACCTGAGCTCTATCGAACAGGGCTGCGATTTGCTTAGATGCTCTCGATGCTAGCACAGCGCTCGCATAGATCAACCTAGGTACCCCCGTGGCCATCCATTGGATTCGTGTGATCTCGAATCTGTTGAATGTCCACAATACCTGAGCATGGAGTCTTTGTAAGACATTGCGTGCCTCCTTCTTCTTTACTTGTTCCTGTATCAGGAGGTAATTCCTGGCGTTGCTTATGGTGATCCCTAAGCATTTGTAGTCCTCCTGGAACTCTATATGATTTTTTCTTTTCCTTGTATGATATTTCCTCTTGGTTCTCCAAGCCGACTGGTGTTGAATATCAACATAGCGCTCTTCGCCGGATTAGACTGTAGACTCTTTCCGTTCCTCAGCTCCCTTACAATCTCTAGCATCTTACGCATTTCTTCGTACGAACGAGCCATCAATGGGAGGTCGTCGGCATATAGCAGTCCTGGTATTCTATGGGTTGTGGATCCGTCGTCTGATATATTCGTCAGCTCAGAACCACAGTTCGCCCACATCAGTCTGGTTTCCAGTTCAGCTATGTATAGTGCGAACAGAATCGGTGACAGAGGACACCCTTCTCGGAGGCCTATTGCAGTGTTTATCCTCAAGGATCTCCTTCAAGGCGCTTATTTCATCTTTGAGTTTCGGAACCTCCGATGAATGTCTTTCTCTCTCGGAGTGCAGTCGGTGCTTCAGCGTTTTGATCACGCAGCAGTACCTCCTTCTTACCTCCGCAGGAAACTCTGTGCTGAGCGCATCTTTACACTGCGTGCAGTCCACGCTAACGTTTGTATTTGCTCCACTTGGCTTTTGCATCCTTGTGGATAGTCCGAGGCTCTCTGATTGCGTAGTTTTTTCACCTACTCGATCGGAGCTCTCGTTAGGGTTATGGTTTCACCGGTCACGCACGTCGTCGAACCGGTGAGGAGGTGGTGTCACAGCTTTCTTGGTCACTTAGTTTGTGCTCTAGCTCCCAATGTTCACTCAACACACACGCACAATAGTTTTCAGTCCGTGAAAACCGCTTTTTCAGCTTTTTCCACCGGTAGCACACTTTTCCGGTCTTTGTTGTCGCCTAGCAGACGACGGCCTCGTGTTACGATGACCCTGGAGTGAAGCGATTCATCGAATCTTGCGCAGCACTGAGCCTGGTCTCTCTTAACAAAATCTACGCCGAAGCTCCGTCGTCGTCGTCCGATCATCCCGCGCGTGATGGGCTATCTAATTTCAGGAAGTATCTCATTGAGACACGGCTCGCGCATGACGCGATCTTTCCGCCTCACATTTGGAATCACTATCGTAACCATGGTGCGAAAACTACCAACCACTTGGAAGGCTGGCATTAGTCTCTGAATCGAATCGTACACAAGAATCACGTCAACCTGCTCGAAATCGCGAATAGGCTCGAACAGAGTGAAATTCAATTACAGTATGGGTGATGACACTCTAGGAAAACTTCAGACTGTGAAAGATCTGGGAGTGATATTTGCCCCCTCGCTCACATTCAAGGAACATGTCACGCAAGTGATCAAAAAGTGCTCAAACATGGGAGCGTGGATAATGAGAAGCTTCATTGTGAACCAGCCCAGTGTATATCTGAGAATGTACAACTCACATATCCTGCCCAATCTGCTATACTGTTGCGTTATCTGGAATCCGAGGAACGCCGGCGACCTTGATGCCTTGAGCGCATGCAGAGGAAATTTGTGCGTAGAGTTGAGCATAGATGCAATGTCAGAGAAGGAACTGTTAAAATCCCGAGCATAGCAGAGCTACTGATGGATGTAGATATCACTTACCTCAGACGAGTTATGAAGAAGGAGGAGTTATTCGATGAACTGTTCAACCTGTCGACTTCGAAAACGCGGGAAGGATTCGTGTTTTCAGCCAAACGAAGACGACGACTGTGAAACACTTGTACCCGTGGAGGATTACCACGATAATTAACAACCCGTTTTAGTGAATAAACGAGAGTCACAACCAAATGATCAGTCACAAGCCATTTCCTGCCGAGACCCTCGAAGAGCCTAATAGGAACATTGAGGACAAGCTCTCATAGATGGACCCTACCTGCGGATGTTGGCAGCCAACGACGCCGTCGTCGAGAGCCGACTCCGCTGCCTCTACCGAAATGCACCCGAGCTGTACGCGAGTGTGCGCGCAACGACGCGGATCTCAAACAGTTTCGTTCCATGACTTACGAACTCGGCCGCTTGGAGCAGACTAAAAATTTCACCTACGGGAACGACACGTACGGCACCGACGACGCCGCTGTCGTCCACGAACTCACGCCGTCGTACGTTACCGCTCTGTCACTGCGCTCTGCAACCAGCTGCAGCTTGCTGAAAGAGGCCCTCGCTTATTCCACTCGTCCCGCTCATTCTTATGCTCTGGCTGGCGGATCCCGAGCGCCTGACCTGTGGGCTTACGCTTTCACGTCGAATTTCGAATGTCTTCGAGAGCTCTTGGCGGAGCTTCAGGCGAGCGGCGCGGAAGCCAGTGCTGCGCGTTCATTCATAACTTCAATGGCTCGGGGGAGCTCTGGTTCTCACAGGCTGCTCTGGGACGCTCTAATGAAGCACAAGCTCTCACTCGAGGAGCTGCAGGTGCCCCTCTCCGAGATCGTTCTTAGCTTTGTTAAATGAACAGGCGCAACAGCTTTTACAGATGTCGACTTCAAGCGCCGTCTCCAACGGAACCTCTCCTGAGTCCGCCGACGGCGTCGCTGGATCTGACAGAAATGACAGCTCCGACGGATCGACAGTCCCGACACCTGCAAATCGTGTCCCGCCGCGGCGAACCGCTCTGCCAAATACGATCAGACTCCTGCTCTAGCGGAACTATATGCTCGTCCGTCAAAGCCGCGACGAATTCATCGAGATGGTGGACTCGGTTTATTGTACGCATGATGAACGCGACGATAGACCGACGGTGGAGCCGACGTTGCTTGCGACCTCTTGAAATCGTCCCTCCAACTTCCCGTGGTCCAGGTCGAACTCGACGGGATGAAATACCTCTGAGATCGTCCGCATATTCAAAATCGTGACCGGTGGCTGATCACAGGGAGTCGATAGAGTGTCGAATAATTTCGAGGCAGCTCTGTACCATCCAGCTTTTACTTGGATCAATATTTGAAGACATGAACCCATCCAGTGTGGGGCAAATTTTCGCCGTGATTATGATTATGATTTTACCGTAATCATACGCATGCGTATGATTATGACCTTAATCATACGCTTGAGTATGATTATGACCGTAATCACAATCACACGTGTGATTTTGATTATAATCATAGTCATAATCACAGGAATCACACGCTTCCGCATGATTATAATCATAATAATCATACGTGTGATTATGATTATAATCATACGCACTCGTGTGCTTACGGCCGTAACCATACGCATGTCTGTGATTATAATCAGAATCATACGTGTGATTATGATTATAATCATACACACTCGTGTGATTACGGCCATAATCGTACGCATGTCTGTGATTATAATCATAATCACACGTGTGATTATGATTGCAATCATACGAATGCGTGTGATTACGGTGATTTCTGTGATTATGACTATGATTATAATCATAATCACACGTGTGATTATGATTGTAATCATACGAATGCGTGTGATTACGGTGATTTCTGTGATTATGACTATGATTATAATCAAAATCACACGTGTGATTATGATTACGGTCATAATCATACTCAAGCGTATGATTACGGTAAAATCATAATCATAATCACGGCGAAAATTTGCCCCACACTGAACCCATCGTCCGCGACTCCATCAATCCGAGATGATTCATTTTTTGATACCTGATTACCCATCCGCAAGCTGTTCGTCCGTAGATACATGTCTCACCGTAATTTCACCTGCTT